AACTGTTGTAGTGTAGAGCGTTGGGTCAAGTTGGGTGGGGTGGCCGGATGACTGATCTGGCCGGATGACTGATCTGGCCGGATGACTGATCCTTAACGTTACAAGCTGACCCAGGGCATTCGTGTTTCTGCGACGACGGCACCAAACACTAGATCTCTCCACTATGCTTATTTTATTTGTTCAATCACTTGCATGGTCTTGGGATAGGTATATGGAAGAATTAGATGAGGTTCAATTGAAAAGCATCCAAACGTTGTCGCATTGCTACGGAGGCGCTCGTCTGACATTGAGATATGTCGCTGGCAGACATCCTGCACTCATTCACGCGTTCAACCGTCAGATATCCCAACCGTATACGCCTTTTTAAAATAACAAATATGCCGAACAAAGGAGCGTAAGCCTACACCCTACGGTCCCTACAGTGGCAGCAGAAGAAGCGAAACATGTTTCTCTCATAAAAAAAATCTCTCGACAATGCCAAGATCCTGAGAGCCCGTCCCATGAGTTTGAAATAAATGCGTCGGACCATCTCCCAGAGATTACACATACGCCAAGTCATTATATGTTCGTAACATCCCCAAACAATATCATACAGCCTCGCAAATGTCTTCATGTTAGGAAGACTGTTCTACACAGTAAAGTCCAAAAGGTCGTACGCCGACGAGTCCAGAGAAGTAAAGTCGCTCATTGCCTTCATCTCGAGGTCAAACTGCGAGTAAGAAGTATCGGGCATGCTGTCAAAGAGCTCATCCAGATTGTCCTTGGACTCAATCGGTGAGGTTGGTGGTGTTGTGAACTGACTTGACTGGACTGACGACCGCGAAGGAGATGACGTTGCCTTCAAGGGACTCGGCTCGACGGGCGCATGTGAGTCGTTTGGCGACCCAGCAGAGTTTGGACGCATATCAGCAGGCGACATTGGGGGTGTATGAGAGTGCTGAGAGAGTTGCTGAAGAATGTTCATAGACGCAGAGTCATTGGCATAGGAAGTTGAGCTAAAGCTCGACTGGGAGAGGCCAGCATCTTCGGGATAAGGACTTGATGAGGCCTCAAAGCTGTATTGTGTGTCAGATTTGGAGGGTGGCAGGATTGGTAGAGAAACTAACCTGAAAGGATCTACAGAAGAGTGCATGGAGTCATTATAGCTCTGTGAGTCCGAAAGCAGCTGAGGGAGATCTTGTGATTGAGCTGGCTCAAAGCCAACTAGCGGTGAAGGGGACCGGGCATCCGAGTTTGGCGAACCGGCTGATGATGAAGGTGCTGACACAAGGGCACGTCGCGTTCTGCTGGCCTTGTCGACGCGTTGCTCCATATCCGGCCGATTCTTCTTCGGTCGGCCACGCTTGGCCTGTCGACGAACTGCATCGGGGAATCCACCGACACACATGCCACGCTGGCGATGGCGCGTAAGAGCGTCTTGTCGTGCAAACCCTGCACCGCACGGGCACTTGTATGGCTTGTTGCCAGAGTGGATCTTTGCGTGGCGCTTCAGGTCGTGTTGTCGAACGAAGCACTTACCGCATCCGTTGCACTTGAACTGGCGGTCACCAAGATGCGTTTGGATATGCGATCGGATGTTTTCCCTTCGTCCAAAGACCTTGCCGCAGCCTTGGTACAGGCAAGTCCATTTGCCGGTTGTCGCGTCTTGCTCGCTAATGTATCTTTGGACTTCCTCAGGCGCGATACCAGTGTACTCGTAGCTAGCGTCCACATCCAGGTCGTTGAACATCTGAGAAGGCGCAAACTGTTCAATGGGTGTTTGCAAGCTGTTGATGGGCACTGCGCTTTGGGGAGTAGGCAACAAGCCGTGTGATTGCGCAAAAACCATCTCTTGGTTCTCTTCGATGTTCTCCAAGATAGATTGAGCAGGCTTTTGTCGTGGCGAAGAGGCGGGTGATGGCGACAAGGCGTCGGAGGTGTAGTACGAAGATGAGTCGTAACCAAGGTCCACCTCTGGGTTCTCAAAGTCGAATGTCATGGCTTTTGAGGTAGGCTCGAGATTGATGTCGTTCATGCCAGTAAAGGCAGCTGAGAGACTGTTTTGACCGAAAGATTCATGGCTAGGCAACTGCGCTGGCTTTTGTGGGGTCGAAGTGGGTGTAGGTAGAATGTTGATGAAGACTTGTCCACATGAGCCATACACAGACTGAATGTGCTCGTGGAGTTCTTTCAATTGCTGTTCAGTTGGGGGTTTAGAGGGGGAAGAGGGAAGCTGCGTGGGAGATTGCACACGGGTTAACCTTGAGGGAGTCCGCGGTGTTGATGAAGTGATCTGTACTGGGGATGCCAAGAAGGTGTCCTGGGGGCCCGGCTGGGGCTGTCTGTGCGTCTGCGCTACTTGCATAGAATGCTGTGATGATTGTCCTAGATTGTTAGTATTACTTACCGTACTGTCTTCCTGCTGGAAGGAGGGGATGTCGAAGGGTCCTGGTCGTTGGGTGTATTCCTGGTATTGGGCTTGTCGCGCGGCATGGATGGAGTCTAGGTTAAGGCCGCGTAGATCCAAGCTCATGCCGGTCCGGTGTGATCGTCGTATTTTAGCAGGCGATGGGCGTACTGTAGGCGCGTCGAAAACAGTTGGTGTCGAGTTTTGTCGACGGTGCTGAATCCGTTGGCGCTGAATGCCGGCTGGCATATTTGTGGACAGCATATCTTATGCAGGTCGAGTCCGGAGTCGGTTCTCGAGGATGGGGGAAGTCCTATTGGGTCCGAAACTGATTTATGTTAATGGTTATGTTACTTTGAAGTCGCGGTGTCGAGTATGCGAGCTTGGACGCTGGAATAAATGGATATCCAAACTTACCTCACGCAGTGCAAGCGGCGCTCCGCCGGGCGGTCGGTGTCCTTATGGTATCCTCAGTACAGATGCAATCTCCCAATAGCCTGCGTCAAGTAAGTAATGGGCCGAAGCCTGTGCGACTAAGTCTCAAGACAAAGAAGTGTTTTAGTGTAAGTCGCTAAACAAAGCAATTGATACTAGAGATGAAGAAAGTGTGGGTGCAGAAGATGGAGAGTAAAGTGGAGGATAATAAAAGTAGCGCAGGCGGGGACAGCTGAGTATTACCGTATGAGGTCAGGACACAACAATCGCTGGCATATCCGTCACCCCAGCGACGGCTAGCCGCCCATGGCCGAGGCTGGCGCTAGTGTATCCACCGCGCCTGGGCACAATCACGTGCTTTTCGATCTGCATCGCGCACGGACTACTTCGCCGCCCGCCGCGCTCGCTTACGAGATCCACACGAATTTCATCCACCCGAGCACTTTCCCGCCCGACTTTTTCTTTTCACACCCTTTCTGCATCACGCTGAGGAAAGCAATCACGACACGATTGCTTAGGCCGCCATGCAGATCTTCGTGAAGACCCTGTAAGTTGCCTCGCGCGCACAGCAGCAGCAGCAGCAGTAGCAGCTCATTGAGAACTAACACGCTGGCAGTACGGGCAAGACTATCACCCTTGAGGTGGAGTCGTCCGACACCATCGACAATGTAAAGGCCAAGATCCAGGGTACGTACAGCTGAGCGCAGATGCTTGGGCTTCGCCATCTGACATTCCCCAGACAAGGAGGGCATTCCCCCGGACCAGCAGCGTCTCATCTTCGCCGGAAAGCAGCTCGAGGACGGCCGCACTCTTGCCGACTACAACATCCAGAAGGAGTCGACCCTCCACTTGGTGCTCCGTCTCCGTGGTGGTGGTAAGAAGAGGAAGAAGAAGGTTTACACCACCCCCAAGAAGATCAAGCACAAGCGCAAGAAGACCAAGCTAGCTGTCCTCAAGTACTACAAGGTCGACGGTGATGGCAAGATCGAGCGCCTCCGCCGTGAGTGCCCCCAGCCCGAGTGCGGTGCTGGTGTCTTCATGGCCGCCATGCACAACCGCCAGTACTGCGGAAAGTGCCACCTCACCTACGTTTTCGACGAGGCCAAATAAGCGCGCCACGACAGGGGTACGCGACACGATCGATAACGAGTAACGGCATTATGGCATGGCTGGGAGGAGCTGAATAGGTTCCACCGCATTGTCGGACATGTAACATCAATCAATCAAAAAAAACTTGTCATGGACCAGATGAAGAGCCAATTGCTCTATGTGTGAATGCTAATGTTGTCTTGTCCGCACTGACGTCAGGTTCACAATCTATTCGCTAATATGGTTGTCCGTGCTTGGTGGAATGAAAGCTTGTATTGGTGGCGCTAGGACCAGTGGGCTGATTGCTGATAACCTGATAGTAGTACTAATTGAGCGGATGTGGTCGGTTACCTGTTGCTATGGCGTCTTCCGGACGAATGACCTATTTTTGGCTTGATGTGTTTCAACATTGATCCGTTGCGTTGCTGTTATTGGAGCGTATGCCTCAGCTAGTGCACTCTTTAATGATTTATACAATCATCAGAAAGTCCAATAGAAATGTGCACATGCTCTCAAAGATGAGAGTAAAGAATCAAGTTTCATATTCGGCAAGGTAATTCACAGTCACAGCCATGGGTGAAGTTAGTATATTTTGTTATTTAGACATGAGTGGAAAGCTACGCATTTGCACGCTTGCACCTCGCTTTTTCCCAAAGGGTAGTTATACATGATCATGATGCGCGAAGAAGAGTTGGGGGTCCATCGTCCTTGTCGTATCATCCGCTTACTTCCTGTTCGCCCTCTGCTCCTTGTCGGCGTTACTCTGGCTAATATCCAGACCCAGACCCTTGCTGTCGAGGTAGATCTTGTTGCTGCTCTGCTGCAAGATACTGGCAATGCTCCTTGCATTCTCGAACTCTCGTAGATCAACGTAACTCCTGCTCTTCTTGATGGCGTCACCAATCAACTCTGCGGAACGGGCCTCACCCTGGGCGCGAACGACGGTAGCTTGCTTCTCCTGGCGGGCCTTGTCGACAACGAAAGCAGCACGCTGGGCTTCTTGCTGGGCAACCTGCTTGGCCTCTACAGCGGCAGTGAACTCGGGAGAGAAAGCAAGGTGCTAAGGTGGGTTAGTAAATTGCGAGGCTTAGGGGGAGATTCTGAAAAGGGCTACTCACTGTTAGGGAGACGTCGTCAAGCATGATGTTGAAGCGAGCGGCTCTCCTGACGAGATTGTCGCGTACTAGCCTGCTAACGTTCTCACGCTGTGTGATAAGCTGGCTGGCGTTGAATTGCGCCACCACACTCTTCAAGACCTCATTGACGATAGATGGCAGAACCCTCTCATCATAGTCCGTGCCCAATGTCCTGTAAATCTGAGGAAGCGCCTCGACCCGCGGTCTTGACAATACACGACAAGTTATGTTGACCATTTGCAAATCTTTGGTGCCGGTGAGGGAAGCGACATTTCGTGGTTTGGCGCGCACATCGTAGGTAATGGGGGTCTCGAACCAGGGAATGCGGAAGTGGGTGCCTTCACTGTAGATTTCCTTCTGCACGCCACCAATTCGGGTGTACTTGATTGCTCGGTGGCCACCATCGACTGTAGCGGGTCAGCGTTTCATGATCATAGAATTGGGCATGCGCTCTAGCGCAAAGAGAAAAATACCATTGAACAGCGCATTATTTGCCATCCAAATTCCACCACCGACGAGTAACAATCCTCCGAGGCCTCCAAAGACGCCCCTCGGTGGTCCGCCGCCGCCAGCCCCTCCAAATCGAGCGCTTCGTCGTGTCAATTCGTTTTGAAGGCGCGACCACGCCTCCTTTGGATCCGGTGAGGCCATGTTGGTCTTTGAGGTAAGAGGGCGAGGATGGGGTGGGGTGAGGCGTCCAGGCGGCAACAATAGCGGATGAGCTCGGTGATGAGGTATCAACGATGGAGAAAATGGTCATCGGCGAATCATGACCCCCGACCACCAGCGCCCGCGCCAAGCCAGACCCTCCGCATTGCGACATCATTGCACTACGTGTCTGTCTTGTGCCTTGTTGTTTATTCTTGTCTGCACAATGTCTCGATTCTTTTGCGCAAACGGCTTGAAACATTTTTATTACTCCGTGATTGGCAACTGAATATCCTCACGGCCTTGCCGTCTCATCTTTGAGAGGGGCTTGCCATGGCTGTCGCATCGTGTTAGCGCAGGGACCACCCAATCAATGTGATATGGGGTAACCTTAAAGCACAGCTGTCCATAAGCCTCTCGCCCACATCGATTCTTAAGTCCTCTCTCTGTCCGTCTAGTGGCACTTTTCGATTCTTGTACATTGCTGTCCTTCTGTGATACCCAATTCCTATTTGTTTTTCCCCATATCCAAAGCAATCATCTTGTGAGTTGTGTGGAGCCTGGCGACGCAGGCGCGGTCGCTTGTATAGAGCACGACGTAGGTTTGATATTGCATCACAGAACTCAATTGAATGCGGGTTAACCTGAGACTAGTAGATAAAGGACTTCAGCCTTCCGTACACCGTCTCCATTCCAAAGCATTGTCATTCAGGACAGAGCTGTCACCTACCTCGACCATGTACGTTACATCGCGATCGCTACGGACTATTGCTTGGTCAGCCTTCGCTGTATACACGGCACGGGCCGACCATGTCATGGAAAATCTCAGTTTCGGGTACAAATCTGGCGAATCTATCACACCTGATCACCACTCGGTTCCTCACTTCGTGGTCCAAGGCACAGACGACTATACACCGCAGATACTCTCGGATCGCATCATTCTTACACCTCCATACCCTGGTAACAGGCGCGGTTCAATATGGGCTCAGGATGCGCTGTACCACAAAGGCGATTGGACTGCAGAACTAGACTTTAGGGCAACGGGAATGGAGCGTGGAGGTGGAAACCTGCAGTTTTGGTATGTGAGGGACTCACAGGCGCACGAGACACCTGCAAGCTTGTACACTTCGCCCAAGTTTGATGGTCTGGTATTGCTCATAGACCAGTACGAAGGTCATGGAGGATCTATCCGTGGTTTTCTCAACGACGGAACAAAGGACATCAAGTCCCACCCAGACCCAGACACGCTGGCTTTTGGCAAATGCGACTATGCATACAGGAACCGTGGCGAGCTTACACCAATCAAGATGCATCATGCACAAGGCTTCCTTGAGGTTATCGTCGACGGGCAACTCTGCTTCAAGACAGACAAGGTACGGTGGACTTGCCTATGGTCTTCAGTTGTCCAGTATACTAATCGCTCCTCCAGGTCGAACTCCCTGAAGGCTACTACTTCGGAATCAGCGCCTCATCCGCTGAGAGCCCAGACTCATTCGAAATTCACAAATTCGTCGTATCCACCATAAACTCGCACATTACCAACCCGCCCAGCCCCAACAAGAAGGACTACGCAAACTACGCAAACTCGCAGCAGCAGAAACAGCAACAGCACCTAAAACAGCAGCAATCCAAGGGCACGTCAGAAAACGGCTTCCCCCAGGTAATCGACGACGTCTCCGCAGACACCATCCGTGCCCAACAAGAGCAATTCGCCGATCTCCACAACCGCGTCCAAATGGTCGACCACCACCTCGCAACCCTCCTCCACCGCGTCTACGAAGTCAAGCAAGCCGTCGATACCCTCACCGAAGAAAACAACGAGCGCTGGAAAGAGATAACTGAGCGCGTTCATTCAATCGATGCGCGCGGCTCCGGTATCATGCACAACGTCGAAAAGGTGGAACGCGCCACGGCACAGATCCTACGTGATTTGGAGTCCAAGGATTTCAAGGAAATGATGAATCAGATCCATCGGGCGCTGGAGAGGAACCAGGATGGCGTTATTCAGGTTTTGCCGCATTTGATGGGTGCTGGTAAGTTTTTCTTTCTTCTTTGATATCTTGATCCTTTTTGTTTTTTGCTTGATTCAGAACTGACTCTGTTTCAAAATAGCCATTACCAGCAAGGGGCCCAGCATGACAACCTTTTTGTTCATTGCCGTTGCTGTCCAAATTACGATTACCGGCGGATACATGCTGTACAAGAGGAGGAGAGACTCGGCGCCAAAGAAGTACTTGTAGAGTTCTTTAGCCCCGCTGCCCTGGTTAGAACGAAGCCGATTATTCAATTTTTTTGCGCGAGAAAGGCGCATAGCGATCTACGGGACGTAATTGGTGAAGAAGGCTTGTACCATATGTTTCGCTTTGAGAAAGAACTGGAAAGATGAGAGATTTGACCTGTTTCTTTCTATTGTGGGAAAAACTTTGTCTATCGTGTGAATGTCTGAATGCTCGGAAATGCTAGGAAACCCATCTAACGCCATCTATGCAGCTGTAAAACAACAACCATATTTTGGTTCTCACGCCCATATCGACATCGCGCCTATACACTCATCTTCCTCGGCTCAAGCAACAACTTGCCCGACGGCCCAGTCTTCTCCGAGAACCCTTCTGCGCGCGAGAAAACACGCTGACCGCGTAGCCAAGTCTCGCGCACGACGCCCTTGAGCGTCTTGTTCTCGTATGGCGAGACTTTGTTGCGGAAGAGCATGGTGCTGGGTTCAACCTGCCAAATTTAGTTAGTCATATGACTCGAATATCACAACGCGGAAGAGTGGTACTATGAAAAAAAAGGAGGGAGGGAACATACCATAAACTCGGCCTCGTCATCAAACACGACAATATCAGCATCAAATCCCACACCAATATCTCCCTTGCTATGCTCCAAGCCAACCTGCTTGGCGGTATTCTTGCAGCACCAACGCACGATATCTTCAATGGAGAAGGAGCTGTTATCAAAGCGCTTGGTACCTTCAGTCCATAAGATAGGAAGACCAAGACCAACACTCGAAATGCCACCCCATGCACCGAAGAAGTCGCCTTTGGCTGCCGAGTCCTGGGTTTCGGGTTTGTTGGACGCTTCTGATGACGACGATGCAGGCGCGAGATGTGCGGGTAGTAGTTTAATGTCTGGTGTGCAAGGAGAGTGATCAGATACCACGGTTTGAATGACGCCGTCGGCGGTGTCTTGAAGGAGTTCTTCCCAGAGGCCGTCTTGGTTTGATTGCGAGCGGATGGGGGGACAGCACTTGTGGCGTGTATCTCCCTCCTTGATGCCTTCGGCGGCGAGAGCAAGGTAGTGGAAGCATGTTTCTGCTGTGATTTTGACGCCGTCTGCACGCGCCTTGCGGAGCAGAGGGATGGCTTCGATAGCGGAGAGATGTACAATGTGGAGTTGTAGCTCAGGGGCTAGGTGAGCTAGGGAGAGGATCTCAGCTACAGCGCAGGTTTCGAAGGCAGGGGGTCGTGATTGCAGGAAGGTGTCGTAGGAGGTTAGAGCACCTTTGGGAGCGAGAGGGGGCTCCGAGGTTTGGATTACGTCGCCTACGGAGTCGGCAATGGGTGGGATCATCTCAGCATGGAACATGAGAGTGGTTGCTGAGTCTTTCAACTCGAGAAGTGCTTTCTCAATGTCGAGTGAGGATACGGCCGGGAATTCCTCAACCTACATGGCGAGTGTTAGTGTCACATGATTGAATGTTCGAGCATAGTAGACTTACACCACTCTCACACAAGAAGCCTTTGAATCCTCGAACACCTTCTTTAACCAGTGCCTTAAGATCGCCTGAGTTGCCTGGGATGATACCTCCATAGAAGCCGACGTCGACCCAGCATTTTCCTTGCGAGGCCTCACACTTGATTTTGAGATTCTCAACTGTAGTCGTGGGTGGGATAGCATTCAATGGCATGTCGATGACAGTGGTAACTCCACCAAAAGCTGCTGCTCGGGTACCAGTCCAGAAGCCTTCCCATTCTGTTCGGCCGGGCTCGTTGAGATGTACATGAGCATCAACAAGTCCAGGCAATAAGATGTGTGGAGAGTAGTCTGTGTATGGTGTGCCTTCAGGGAAGTGCGTTTGAGGAAGCACTGAGTGAAAGATGGACGTTACTTTACCAGTATTGTTGGATACAATAATGGTAGCCTCTGTAATTCGACCACCAACGACAGCTCTTGAAGAAGCCAGCACGGTAATGGGATGAAGTGGCTGGGCCTGAGAAGTGGGTGGAGGTGTCGTTGCGTGAGGAGCCATGCTGGGATTGTGTTGAATGAATTTAGAGCGGAAATGCCAAAGAAGTAAAGACAGAAGACGTGGGGATATATAACACCGCGTCAGGAAGGTAAGAGCTATATACAGCCACAAGCCGGTTTCGGCGAACGCGGGGAAGTTAAGGTGGCTGTCGTCGGTGAGCTGCAGATAAGCGTTGATAAGACGCTGTAAGTGAAGCGCCAGTAAGTGTAAAAGAGGACTGAAGCGAGGTCTTTGGGAACAAATGGGATAGAATAGTGCTAGGAGAGAAAGGCTTGAATTCTTTGTCAAAAGAGAATCCTATAGTCAGATATACCGACTGTCAAAACGCCAAAATCTGGGGTACAGTCCCTTATCTGTCCATGGCTAGGAGCCACCCCCGGGCTTCCCCCGAAGCATTGTATTCGAGGTATGGGTCTCGCTAACGTGAGCGCCGCGGGATGGTGGGCCACCGGCGCGCCCTGCGTTACATATTGCTCGATACTATCGAGTAACTACGATGAGGCGAGGCTATCGCGGCCGCTCTGACCATGCGTCTCGACCCTGTCTTGTGTTGGTCAACTCTAGTGTAGATACGAGCCAATATCTTCCCTATTCATAGGTATCGGCTCTTCGGTGTGACCTATAATATGTTATTCTCATGCTATTTTTCCCTTCAAAAATATAGCATTGCAGTTGTTGGGATTGCAAAGCACCCAGAGACGCACATTGCTTCTCTGGCTCAAATGGTGGTGTTGGGAGACGTGCATGTGTTTACTGATAAGCAAATGCAAGGATGTGGCTCCCCTACGATAGGCATGCAGTAGATCGCTCCGATTAGGCCCACAAGGCCTAGCGCAGGGCAGCCGGTTGAGCGTCATAATACCCGTGGAACCTCGAGCATCCAGGGCATGGTCCAGAATACACCGCCGGATATTTCTTTGCAGCTTGTGTCTTGTCGAGGAACAGAGAGCTCCCTTGTTCTTGGCTATTAACCTGATGGATAAAAGAGCTGTGAGTCTTGAGGCCACCGGGAGAGTGCCCGACATCTCCGGAGAAGCTAAGGAGATGCCAGGCAGCGCGTACCTTCTATTTCTATCGAGTAACGGAAATCCAATAAGTTGGCTCTCGTCACCGCAACCGCTTACCTAGCCCGACACGCATGGACTGGCTTCTCCCGGAGCTGCCCGAAACGCATGTTCTCGACCGAATTCCCAAACGCATTCCGATTCTGCTGTAGCTCGTCTGGCTTCGTGCGTCCTGACAAGCATAACCGTGTTCAGGCACCGACATTATAATGTTGATCAAAAGAATGAGGCCAGAAACATCATGAGGTGGCCGAGATGGGTGCTCGGCCATCTCCGTGGCCCTTTAGTATTCTGGTTTGTCGGTTCGAGTCATCCAGGACAAGCGGCCAACTACGGCGTCCAGAGCTCCGATCCCAAGTAGCTATCGAGTAACAAAAACTGCACGCTCAGCGCTTTCTGCAACTCCCGGTGGCGCGCTTGCACACGAGCAGCTCAGCAGCCTCGGCTACTCTCATTTCGTCGTCGTGGCCAGCATGTTCTGCAGACACGATGTGACAAATTGCCTCTGCATTGGCTAGACGTCGTGTAGCGGTAAGGACTTTGCAATCGCGTTACACACCCAGGGGTATGTTTTGCTTACGTTTCTCTGGAAGGCTCTAGACAATGGCGATTCAGCATGGTGCGCAAACACCCTGGTAGCTGCGTTGTTGAGCATCGCAAGCGGGGTGTTTGCTCTGGGAAAAGAGGAAAATTGCTGGTCAGTACCGTCCGACAGAACCTTGGTTCTGACACATGATCCGTAAAGGATTTGCTACGTGTTCAACAACGACTAGGAAACATACAGGCTCTAAATAGTGGCGAAGAGGGCAGAAGGACGAAAAGGGAAGTTACCAGTCTTGCTGAGAAGGACTTTGTGGGGAGCCCGTCAGCATCCTCACCTAGTTATCGGTGCGTTGCATCACATGCGTACATCCTGTATACGGTATCCTGGCAACCCTCTTCTTCACTATAGCGACAGCAAAAACCATTCACGATCCGAAATAGCCATCAAGTATACCCCGTTTCTTCTGGGTTCGGGGAGATAACTTGGTCCCTTTGCTGTTAGCCAACATTGAGCGGGAATTATAAAGACTCGCTTGCAGTCCGTACTCGGCTGCATTTTCGCGCCTGAGATCCAGGTAAGTATAGGCATCAGGCTTGTAGTAGATAGGTCGGCCTGCAGAGAGCAAGCCCATGTTTTCCAGCTCTCGGAGTACTCGAAGAACATCTTGAGTATCTTGAAAGTCTTTGGTGTAGACACAGACTGCGATACCGTTAGCACAAGGAAATCTTTAGTATTTGGGAGTGCCGCCACACGCACTCAGCCGTTCCTCTTTTCCATCATCTGTTGCCACTTTGCAGCCAGAGCCAAGTCGGTTTTCGATGACACCTGCTACGATCTGTTTCCAAACTCGGGTAACATCGACAGATTTGGGGAATAACATCCACTACACAAAGTCAGACATACAAGAAATGAGGTAGTCAGCTCTAGTCTGCTTCCACCTACTTTTCCAGAGAGAACGTGAGTGTCTTTCGCTATGCTAGCGATGCACGCCTGCAAGGAGTCGCTTTCTTGACTGAGCTTTTTGGTCACGCTTCCTTTTGGTTGTGTAGCACCTAGCTCATGGATCTTATGGCGACTCTCTAAAGACTCGTGGAGCAGTTGCATGCCGCGATTCGTGAAGTCAGCAACATTGGGATATGGCGGCTTGTCGTGAGGGTTGCGATGAGGATTCTCAGCCCAGATCCAGGGACATTTGGAGATGGGGGTGGTCAGTGGTGGAAGGCGGCGTATAAAGTCATCCACAGATTCGCCTAGTTGCCACGCATCGAGTTGCCCTTGTAGCCGATTGAACAACTCAGGCTTGGATGATTGTTCTGATGATGACTCTTGCTTACGCTTGTTTGACGTTAAAAGATGCTCCTGCGCCAAGTCCTTGTGATAGGAACTAGGTTTCTTGCATGTCTGATCTTGTGTAACCGGTGATGTTCCCCACTCCCCTCTCTTGGACGGCGCTGCGCTGTTGTTGGAAGTAGGCTTTGCAAGGAGCTGAGCCCTCGCATTCATCGTGATGACGTTGATATCATTGGAGCGAGCACGCCAGAGCGATTTCACATCATACTTTGCACAGCGCCGTCTTTGATGCTGTTGCTCCTCCTCTGTGCCTTCTAGTTGTTAGCGGGTGGGGCTTCAAGATGCACCTGACGTACCATAGAAACTGCTGTCATCTGAAATCCATCCATCCCCGGACACCATATATTCCTCTTCCATTGCCAATCTTATGAGGCTGAAGATAGTGTGTGCTGCAGATATCCAGATAATTATGGATGAAGACAAACGTAGTGTAGTCAGCGATGGTTGGCCGAATGAGGAAAGTAAATGAGGAACGACGCGCAAGGGTACCCCTGCTGCCAAAACGCGCGCCCGCGTTCTCTCTACGCGTTGACCGTGACGGAGCCTTTCAACTCCAATAGACAATCCAACGCCTTGACCTGCCAGACTCAGATCAATCCATGGTATCCACAATGCCGCACTCAATCTCGCCAGATTCGACGCCTGCACAAGACGCACCGCAGACCGACAATGTCAAGCCAGAACCAGAAACCCAAGATGTCGCCATGGAAGACGTGCCAGCAGCGGCCACATCAGAGACGAGCAAAGTCAAGCTCGAGGAAATATTCGACGACGTAGATTCAGACCCAGAATTCCCTTCGAGCGCACCAGTGCCCACCTCGCAAGAAGATGCATCGCAGCCTGCCCCAATGTATGCCCCGGCCCGGCCCACGACAATGTTGATGCTCGTTAACTGACATTCACACAGCAAGATTAATTCCAAGTCGTCCTTCTCCGACCCTGATATCATGCGCGCCTTTTATCAGCGCCTCTTCCCTTTCCGCCCCCTCTTTCAATGGCTCAACCATTCCGTAACCCCGAGCAACGACTTTGCCCACCGCGAATTCGCATTCACGCTGCCCAACGATGCATATCTGCGCTACCAGTCCTTTCCGACTTCGGATTTACTACGGAAACAGTGCATAAGCATGCTTCCCTCCCGTTTTGAAATCGGCCCCATGTACAGCACAAACCCCAGAGATCGAAAGACGCTGCGAAAAGCCAGCGCCTTTCGTCCAGTCATGAAGGAGCTGGTCTTCGATATCGATATGACGGATTACGACGACATCAGAACATGCTGCACAGGTGCAAGCATTTGTCTCAAGTGCTGGGGCTTCATCACAATGGCCATCAAGACCATCGACGTGGCTCTGCGGGAAGACTTTGGCTTCAAGCACATACTCTGGGTTTATTCTGGTCGTCGTGGTGCTCACGCTTGGGTTTGCGATAAGCGTGCACGAGAGATGGATGACCAGAGACGCCGCTCAGTAGCCAGCTATCTCGAACTCCTCAAGGGAGGCGACCAGGGCGGCAAGAAAGTCCATGCCCGGCGACCCCTCCACCCACATCTGGAGCGCAGTCTAGAAATCTTGAAAGAGCACTTCCAGACGTCTATTCTTGCCGAACAAGATCCCTGGGCTAGTGACGAAAAAGCAGCCCACCTCCTTAATCTACTCCCCGATCCTACCCTCAAAGCTGCCTTGCAGAAGAAATGGAGTGCTGCACCCTCACGCCCCAGCGCCTCCAAATGGTCCGATATCAATACCCTCGCCGAATCCGGCGCTCTATCAAAGACACCCAGAGAACTTCGGGAAGCCAAGCAAGACATCATTCTAGAATACACGTATCCCCGTCTCGATGCCGAGGTCTCTAAGAAACTGAACCATTTACTCAAGAGCCCGTTTGTAATACATCCCGGCACAGGGAGAGTCTGTGTACCTATTGACACGCGGAAAGTCGAAGATTTCGATCCATTGAGCGTACCAACAGTCACACAATTACTGCAAGAAATTGACGACTGGACTGGCGACGAGACGGACAAAAAGGTGCAGGACTGGGAGAAGACGAGTCTGAAACCTTATGTAGACTTTTTCAAGCGGTTTGTTGCAGGCTTGCTGGAGGAGGAGAAGCCCGCGCTCAAGAGGGAGAGGGAAGAGGCGGCGGATACAATGGAGTTTTAGAGGGGACTTTGTGTTGTATGACAGAAATGAAAGGGAAAAAGGCGCTTTGGTGTTGACGATGTAGAATCCACGCCGATGTTGGATATATCAAGAGAACTCCCTCGCTTGGATGTACGGGAAATTGATTAATGAGCTAAATACAACATGTTCCTCCGTCTCTACATATCAAGTCATAACACATTACTATCCACTGCCCCCATACCCCAACTGACACACCACGCCATCCATAGTACAATACGGCATCTGAATCGCACTCGCACCCACCCCCCTCGCCACCAGCCTCTCCCTCATCTCACTCAACCGCGGCGCCGCCTCAATCTGACTGCGATTCCTACCCTCCCCATCCTTAGCCCCACTCCACAGGATCTCCGCCGCAGCCGCAGCGCGCGGCCAAACCATCTGATCCACATTCACCGCATCCGTCTGCTCAGCCCACATGTGCGCCTCGCCCCCGAGAACAAGATGCTGCGATTCTTCCGGTACGCCGGCGAGCGGATCCAACGAGTAGATTACACGCCAGTTGTGGAAGGGGGCGCAGTAGTCGTTGTAGGGCCAGTTATCTGCACTAACTGATGGATCAAAGTTGAGCCATTGGCCTTTGCCGCAGTCGAGGTACTATTTCTTTCGTTAGCAATTTCTTCCTCGCACCACGATTTTTCTTAGGGTACATGAAGGTGGGAAGAAAGAGGAAGGGCAGTATATCTTACCCAGAAATTGTAATTTCCAACGAGTACTTTATGGCCCTTGCCCACTATCTGCGCCACAGACTCATCGCTGAGCCATGATTGCACGATGACATCGGAACCCAGTGTTAAATTCCAGTCTAGCAGCATTTCTTCCCAAACAATGGGGATGAGGCCCTTGGCGCGGACCTGGTCGTGGTTGCGGTCTACGAAAGCTTGCATGAGGGGCTGTAAGACGGCGAAGTCGCTGCTTTTCACCGTGTCATCGAGGCTGTATGCGTTTTTGTTTACTTCATCGCCACCTGTATGGAAGTACGCAGAATATGGATGTATACGCGGGAGTAAGTCGTCGAGGACGGTATTGAGGAACTTGCTTACAGCCGTTGAATTAAGCTTTAAAGTACCCGTCGGCGGTTCAGCCGCGTAGGTATCCCAGTTTGGTTGAATGTTAAATGCGGCGAGGAGATCAGAGTCACTATACCCAATGCTGGCTGTGTGACCTGGCATGTCTATCTCTGTGATCATTTGTACGCCCTGGAGTGCGGCGTATCGCTGTAGGTCACCAAAATCGGAGGCTGTGTATACGAGATCGGGGCTGTATGCGCCTTTGGCGGAGAGAGAGGGGATGGAGGGGATCTCCAAGGGCCAGGATTGAGAGTCTGTGGCGTGCAGGTGGAACCGGTTCATTTTGTTGTAGGCGCAGGCGTCGATTTGGCGTTTGATGTCGTTGATGGGGAAGAAGTTGCGGGAGACGTCTAGGTTGATACCTCGGTGTTGGAATTTTGGGGCGTCGGAAATGGTGACTGGGGCAAGGGGTGTGTATAAATCTTGCTTGTTCGAATGGGCGAAGAAGAGTTGTGTGAATGTTGTTAGGCCGCGTGCTACGCCAATGCTGGAGTTTGCGCTGACGGTAGCTATACCTTCTGTTGTCAAGGTTAGGCTGTAGGATTCGTCAACTTCGCCAGCTTGTGGCTTTCCAATATTTTGTGGATCGACGGAAAGTTGTTTGATGTCGACGCGAGAGACGTATGCGCTTCCAGGTGATGGTTCGTTCCAGGCTCGAGGACGGAATTTCCATGGGTAGAGGTTTTGGTTGAAGATTATGTTCCAGCTAGATTTGATAGCAAAGTTGACAATGTCATCGCCAGAAACACTGTCGCTCGCCCCGTCGTCGGCTTTGTCGGTGGCTGATACATCTGTATAGGTTTTGTATAGTTCCAGTGCTGTACTTTGCTGAAAAGGAGGTCCAATGTCAGAGTTTGATGCGAAAAAGAAGGGTGTCTGATCCGTGAATGGGCCTACATTGCTTGCACCAGCCTTGTACCAGTTGAACGAAATATCCTTCTTGATAAAGAGAACAGCATCTCCGTGCTCATACGACGTAGGGAGCGGCCATATGGCAGCGGCCAATGACGTGAAAAGAGAACAAACTACAAGGGGTTTCATTGTGCAGCAAATGGATGAAACGAATGGATGAAGAGATCAAAACCAAATGAAATGACAAGACGACATAAGCTCTGCGAAGCTTTTTGAAAGAAATGATTGAACTATTGACTAATTGTTGATGATGGCTGGTGCACGACAATGTAGGTCCGATTCGATAACCCCCTAAACGATATCCCCTGAAGCCGGCTAGTGATGAACTTTGTTATAGAGGCAACCAGGGGCTTCCTGGTTCCGTTGTTTGCCGCGTGGAAACTCAATTGGCTGTTGTTGAGCTTGAGGCTGGAGAAACGTACAGCGTAGTACTCGGAGGGTTAGCCAAGACAACGCTACGTACGAATAGTACCATGGTGGGGTGTCTGGTTGAGGCACGATAACGTGCCGGGGTTCAGCCTCCACTTCTGCTGCAGCCCTGTCATCAGCTATGTATAAGTGCACAGATGTGCTACAGACGACCACTAATCTGTTGCTTGTACGAACATTCATACGCGGCCTCACTTTGGCGGGCCTCTGCCAATGCCGCGACGGCTGGCCTGACAAGAGATGGTTGGCGTCAGCAACCCAGAAATCGCGGCACGTCGGCTACGTATGTCCCCTGCGATCAACGGCACAAGGTTCAACACTAACATTGGGAGAGGATAGACAAGCCTGCCATGCCCCAACCAGCAGAAGAAGACTGACGCAGTCGTGTCTCGTCATGACATTCGGCATTTGTACAGATCTGGGAACTATGCGATTTGTACAGTCCGTCCGAAGCCGTGCGAAACATCCCCACCTTGAGTAACCAGAATCGTATTTCCCCGCTTTCATATCCTGCCTGCTAGGTCACACGGGCCTCGTGTTGTCCAGTTTGGTTAAAGATGCGAGACAAAGGCCACTCGTGCGACGACAAGAGCCCTCTGGGACGTCATACCCGAGGTCCAAAACGAAGGAGACGCCGTCTCAATGGCGTAAACATGAAGGCATCAAGGTCATAACGACTATCTCTAAGCGATGGGAGGAAAGTGCCAATCCCGCACAAGTGGAACGTGTAATTTAACAATGGCGCATGAAAATTTCGGCATCTTTCTCCATACTGAGGAGCTAGAGTACACTACACTTAGCCGACCACCCTCTACGGCCGTGCTTGCCTTGCGGCATGTGAAGGCTGCTACTAGGTACATATCGCTGCCTGCATCCTCGAAAGCTCCACAGCAGTCCTCGAGACTTTGCCCACCATGGCTCAACTCGACACCATGCATCTATCAATGCCCCAGCTCGTCGGTGCCCTGGCTGCCCTCTATATCAGTTACAGCGTCGCCCGCAAGTTCTATGTCAATGCGCAAATCAAGAAATTGGGCGCTCGCGCGCCGATCCGAAAGAGTTACCTCCCCTGGAATTTTGACCTCATTTGGGAAACTATCCAGAGCGCGCTGGATGATAGAATTTATGAGCTGTGGACCGACATATTCAACAAGGAGTGCCCGACCGGACGCTACACCGTCGAGTTTGGGGGCAGCGATCGCCTCATCTTGACCGCAGAACCGGAGAATATTAAAGCTATTCTGGCGACTCAATTTAAAGACTATGGCAAGGGAGAGCAATTCACCAAAGATTGGTATGACTTTTTGGGCCACGGTATGTCAAGACAACCGTTTAGTGCGGAAGATGCTGTTTTCCAATCGACTAGACAACAGAAGCTAACGTATCCCATTCAGGCATCTTCACCACTGACGGCGAGCTATGGCACAACTCACGCCAGCTGATCCGCCCGCAATTTATCAAGGACCGCCTCAGCGACATTGACATTTTTGAGCAGCATACCCAGCTTCTTATCTCGAAGATTGGCAATGACCAAGAAACCGATGTGCTCGACATGATGTTTAGGTATACTCTGGACGCAGCCACACATTTCCTCCTGGGCGAAAGCGTCGGCAGCCTCGAAGAGCCAAAGACTGAATTTGCTGATGCATTCCACAACGCCCAGCGTGTCCAGAGCCTCATCGCCCGAGTTGGGTATGTAAAACAACAAAACCATCCCCCATCTCATTCCATTTCACAACTAAAACTTCTTCTCACAGCCCCATGAACTGGATTATCCCTCGCCGCTACATGGGCTTCTACGACTCCATCAAAAAAATCAACAAATTCGTCTCCACCTTCATCGACCGCACCCTGGCCCTCTCCCAAGATGAACTAGAGAAAATCTCAAAAAACGATGAAGACTACACCTTCCTCCACGCCCTCGCCTCCTACACCCGCGACCGCTCCACCCTCCGCGACCAAATGGTCAACATCCTTCTCGCCGGCCGCGACACAACCGCCTGCACTTTAACCTGGGCAATCTACCACCTCTCCGTCGACCCAGTCATCACCGCCAAACTCCGCCAGGAAATCATAAACACCGTCGGCCTCGACAACAAACCCACGTACGAGAATCTAAAGAATATGAAGTACCTCCAGCACGTCATAAACGAGACTCTCCGCCTCTACCCCGTAGTCCCGTACAACATCCGCATGGCCGTAAAAGATACTACACTGCCCGTTGGCGGCGGCCCCGACGGCACCCTCCCCATCGGCATCCGCGCAGGCACCGCAATCGGCTACTCCACCCTCGTCATGCAGCGCCGCGCAGACCTGTACCCACCCACATCCGCTTCGTTCCCCCCACCATCCGCATTCGCGCCAGATCGTTGGGACTCCTGGACGCCCAAGAGCTGGACGTACATTCCGTTCAACGGAGGCCCCAGGATCTGCATCGGACAACAGTTTGCGCTCACGGAAATGGGATATACGCTTGTGCGCTTGTTGCAGCGGTTTGAGACGGTGGAGAATAGGATGGGTGGCGTGGAGCCGGGCATGCATACGGATATTGTGTTGCAGCCTGCCAAGAAGGTCAAGGTTGTTTTCAAGTGAAATAAGGTAGGCTGGGGGGATTGGAAGAGAGGGTAGCGTTTGTTTCTTCTTGATATCTCTCTCTCTAGTAACGACTGATACGCTCCTCGTTTCTATATGTTTTTTGCAAGTATATAACGATAAAATGACATACAAGTTTCCTGATGTACACTTGAACAACTCGATCACAATAAGTATCTCGAAACAATTCACATTCATTCATTCATTCGTAACGGCACAACAAGCCGCCCATTAGCAGCCTCACACTAGTGAGCCCTATAAGCGCCGCTAGTCATGTTCATGGTCAGGGAATATCTCTTCCTTTTCGACCTCCAAAAAAACAAATCAAACTTTTTGTATCCAATCCAAACGCCTGCTCAAGGTTACGATGCTCTATGCACATATCCTCGCTCCCTTTAATGAGGAGCATTGTCACCCTTTGAAATGCGCTTGCTCATAAAGTCGAAGAAAGCAAACTGGCTAGCTGATACACCGTACTCGTAAACAAAGCGGCTGGCAAGGTAGCTACCGAAAATTGCACGGAGATAGTTGTCTGGCACCTGTTTGTGTGTTAGTTTTTGCTTCGTATCCGCATCTCAATATCAACACTTACCCTCTCCATAATCTTGTCGAGGCCAATCTTCTCGAGCAGAATGTTGGGAAGTGCCTCCTTCAGAATCGACTCTCTGAACTGAATGTTCTTCCAGAGATCCGTGTTCTGCATCTCCTCATCCAGCTTGGTGATGGCGGTACTCAGCGTGTCACTAAGAACGCTTCGTGGCTGACCAGTAGCCTGGTGCTCCCTCCAGATAGCCTCGAACTCGAGACGGGCGTTGTTCTGGATAGTCTTCTGGACCTCACGGACATAGTTGTTGTAAAATTCGGGAGCCTGGCCATCCTCTCCAACACACATGTGCTTGATGAAGCTCTCGTCGTCGAATGACAGGGATGCAAGGACTTCAAGCGAGGAGGAAGTAACACCACCCTTGTTAGCTGAAGCATCCTTGTACAAGATGCAGCCAGCCTTCTCAAGGCGGAGCTTGGCGTCCTGGGTGATGAACAAGTTTGCACCCTCAACAATGTATGGGATGACCGACTTGCCATCGACGATAAGCTTGTTGGCGGTGGACAGGTCAATGGACTCGGGTCGGCCACCGCAGGGGACAAATGTGTCGTAGTGCATATCGCTGCGGAGATGGAAGGTGTTGCGGAAAGTTGTGCCGTTATAGACGAGATCTCCGTTTGGTAGTCGCACGTTGGTGTCATCAACCAAAACACGGTAACCTTCAGACGAAAGCTTCGACACATCAAAGTGGTTGATCATCTTGCGCTCCTTGGCCAGGCGTACAAGCTCCTCGTGGTTGATGCCGTTCTGGTCGACAAGAACACCTGAACCATCAATAATGGCAATGTACTTTTCGTTGCTGAGCAAGATCTCGTTTGATCCAAGGTCACCGTCAGGGCCACCAGTTTGCATCTTGCGGACCTTGCTGGGGTCCAAGTTGAGCTTGCGGTAGATTCCTTTGACGTACTCGCGCACAGACAAAGTAGTCATGCCGTAACGGTCGTGAGGAATACCACCCAACTTGGGGCTCTTTCCGGTGAAGAAGGACTTCCACCATGGCGCACCTCGGACACGGGCATGCTCGGTTGCCCAGTCGACAAGATCAGCCGTGTTCTCGTCGGGACCCATGAACAAAATCTCCTCCTTGCCGTGCAAATCGACAATAGGGTCCTTAATACCAGGGCTGGTGGGAGGCAGAAGCAAATCGAGAATACTGTCAATGTACTTTTCGAAAGCACCCCGGGCCTTGTCTTGGTGCTTGAAGTCGAGAAGCACAACACCCTTGGATCCACCCTCAGGAATATCCTTGTTCTTGCGCTGTTGTGTGTTTGCAAGGTTGTAGTTCTCATCAAACATTGAGCGTGCGTTGATAGAGTATGCTTCCTGACTCCTCGACTTGACGATACGGATACCACCACGAGCGATATCACGGAAGCGGAGGTGGAAACCACGGAATTCTGAACCAATGACCAGGAACATTCCGTACAGCGGCTGAGGGTACTCTGAGCGTGGGAGGAAGTTGGGGTTCAGACGGAAGCTGATAGCAACCTTGGTAGGGGTGTAGAAGTTGGTCTTGAGGACGGAGCTGTTGAAGACGCGGAAAGAGGTCATGACCATCTCGTGGTGGTCGTTGACTACCGCCTTGTTGATGGTGTCGGTCAACTCAGCATCGGTCTGGACCTTGTCGACCTGAAGACGGAGATAACTCAGTGTTGGGAGGAAGTCGTCTTCCTGGCCACGGGTCTGGACATAGTGGGTCTTTGCAAAGGGGAGATACAAAGTGTGGACTAGCTCGGGGTATTCCATGATGATCTCGTAGATGTAGTCGGCAGTGAACGTCTCAGCACGCAACCTACGCTTGAGCTTGGCCAGCAGCTCAGCGTGTACGCTGTTCTCAGAGTCCAAGATTGCTGACAAGGCAGTGTACTCGCTTCCAAGACGGTTGAGGAAGTGGGTGATGAAGACCCAGACGCAGTGTGCGTAGATGGTCTCTTGCAGACTGAGTCTGCTTGTGGCAAAGAGTGTCTGGAACTTGTTCTGTGGGAGACAGTAGAGCAGCGAAACCTCCTTGGTGATCTGGTGAATGGACGCCTCAATGGGAGGGTGCTTGGCACCAGCCGCGCCGGGCAGCGGGCGCAAATACAAAGACATGACGGTGTAGCCGTTGGAGAACTGCTCGACGTACTTTCGTGATGTCGTCAGACCGTAGTAGTGGTACAGGTCGCTCAAGGCGCTGAAGAGACCAAGAGCACTTCCACGCTTGAAACCGACAACCAGGCGCTTGTCTCGAGAGCCCTCAATGTCGTAGTGGTCAATGACGGGTCCAGTGCGCTCTACGGCGACCTGGAGAATTTGCTGGTAAATGGCCTTTGTGTTGGCAGTGGCCTTTTGCAGGAAGCGCTTGTCACCAATCTTTTCGAGGTTGGTCTCGGTCTCGCTGGGGCTGGGGTCTACAAAGTCGCATTGGTAGACAAAGTAGCATCGGAGTTGCTGGTCTTCGCTTCCTGGCAGCGGGCTTTCGGAGCGGAAACTCTCGACACGGTAGGCAAGACCGGGTTTTGAGGCAGCCAGGTACTTCTTGCCTATGCGTTGTTCGTATTGCGGACCATCTATGACAGACACACCGGGCCTGCTGGTGTCAATGTAGACAGCGTGGTCTGGGGCCTCCTTGTCGAGGCGGATCTCAAGACGCTTGTCGTCTCTGGCGTAGGCGGCGACCTTTGCGGCGTAGAGCGAGTGGATGTGGTTTACGATTCTGCAAGATTGACATTAGCATCATGGGCTTGGATGTATGAGAAACAAGGATTCTTACGCGTCGACAGTCTCAGTAGCAAAGTACATGTCGTCAATGCCGAGCTCGTTGTAGAACCACTTGGTCTCGGACTCGACGAGTTCTGGGGGCATGAAGCCCTTTTCCTCGACGCCGTCCATGACGGCCTCCATCTGCTTCTCCTTGCCCTCGAAGACTGGGGCGACATATCCAGAGCCGCCGGAGCCTTCTTGTGGGATGATTCGGGGGGTCGAGTGTCCTGAGGAGCCGGGTGCGCTCAGATGTGTGGGTAGTGGAGAGGGCCGGCGATCGGCCGTGTTGAGGAGCTGCTCGAGCTGCTTGTGCTGGGGCGCTTGGCCATTGGAGCCTTCATTGGGTGTGGACGCCATTGTGAATGGTGTTTGTGTATGTGCAACGCGAGTTGACGAGGGGTAGCGGGGCAGAGAGTAGAGAAGGAGGAGGAGGGGCAAGGCACGGCCGTGTCCAAAACTAGAGAGGGGATTAGTGGACCTGTACGAGTATTTGAGCCAGAGGGCGCAGCAGCAGCAACAGCGGAAGTTTCTGTGTGTAACACGGATCCACCGCTATTCTGGGAGCCTCTGGCCAGCAGTGATGACGCTAGCTGACCTCTAGTTGAATCGCAGCTCGGATAACGACTGCAGAGGCAATTGGGCAGAAAGCCACCGCTCTTTCGACAGTCCCTGGCCTGGGGAAGCGGAAGAGGGCAATGGTGTAGACGTTATCTTGCGGAAGGGCGAATGCAACAGCCGATGCAAGGGCAGAGGCTGATGAGCAGACTGATAGTATGTAGTTGATGTTTTGAAGGTTGCAGGGGTGTGGGTGTGGGTGTGGGTGTGGGTGTGTAAGTAAGTAAGTACGTAGTGTACACAGTAGGGTGGTGCAGACAGGAATAGAAAGCCTGTCTGGACAAGCTGCAACAGTGCAAAGGAAACGCAACAGAAGAAGCCGAACAAAGCGAATGTTCTGGTCCGCCTCTCTCCATGTGGCCACGGGGCATGCATCGTCTTTTATACTGTTGTTGCTACCTGCTAAGCTGCGCTGACCATGGGGCGTATGTAAGTAGTCATGGTACCTGGATTGTCCCGCTGCAAGCCGAGAGCGCGAGCTTCCCCAGAATTTGGCAGAGACGGCATGGGAGGTGCCGGCTAGCGCTGCACCGCATCGCCCACCTTCACGTAATTCGACCAGGCCCGGCCCTCGAGCTCCCCAATGCGTAACGTGCAATCCATCATGACCGGTCTTCTAGAAAAAGCCTCATCGTTCCGGCAGAGTTTTCGCATAGTGCGGCCGAGAAGAAACGTCACCCGACTGGCATCCATCGCCGCCCACGTCGGGACTACAGGGATGGGCGCAGTAGTGCCACCCCCGACCCCTTCTACTCCCTCTCCCCGCGACGCCGGCTGCAGAACTCACGATCCTTGGCGCTCCCTCTCTGCCATCCATGGCGTTTCCATGACTGTACGTGGCCCCTTGAGACTGGGCCTCTGCTGCGCGTGCGGCCATTTCACACTCTCCTCCACCTCCACCTCACCGCTTGCACCCAGTTGCCGAGTCACGATCCCTTCTTTTGCCTGTCAGCTGTCGGTTGCACAGCGTCGAGACCGCGTCCATGGCCCAGACGGGCATCTCGTCGCCATTGTCCCTCACCATGACGAGCCCAACTCGGCAAAATCACTCCAACGCCCATGACAATCACGCACTACCATTGTTTGACTGCTACTCGTCCTCGTCGCCATAGCTGTGGCCATTTACAGTCAACAGCACTTTGTATCCATGCCCTCCGATCCACTTCTTCTTCTTGCCCACCTTCTCCACCCGCTTCAACGCCGCCTGCAGTCCCTCGTCGAGATCGTCCGGCTCGTGCCCAAACACAAAATCAACGCAAAGCCTCTCCTTGTCCTTTTTGCTACTCGCCCACTCCACCTTGATCTGGACGCGGCTCTGCCGAATGGTCCCTGCGGGATATACACTTGCCAGTACGCCAGCAACGCTCCCCAGGTACCTGCACCACCACCTCAGGTCTTCGGGAACAAGCTGCAGCATTCGGTGATAAAAGTCCTGTTCGGTGGGGCTGATTGTGCTGTACCCCCCGTAACGCTCACACAGCAGAATAGCAAGCGTGGCGCGTTCCTCGTGGCTAAGACCGTGCCCGGCAGAGAAGATGCCTGTCGTGGTACTCCTTAGTGCAGACCCACTGCGGAGATCCTTAACTTGGCCTCTGTGCGCAAACATGGTGTATGTGAAGGCCCTCATCATGCTGTTGCTAAACAGCTCCTTGCGCGCCGCCGATGGCGGAGCCACTACCGCCCTCCGCAACAGGTTCATCAGCTCCGAGCTAGAAGCCGACGCATATGCTCTTGTCGCATTGACAATTGGCGCATCGGACATGCTCGCCGGCTCCATCTCCGCAAAATGCATTCCCTCTCTTACGCCCCCCTGGCAAAAGTAGACGTTCTTGATGCTCGGCAGTGCTTTCGACAGGCACGAGACCAAAAAAGCCACTGCAGGAACTTGACTGGCCCGACGTGCTGACACGCGAAAAATTTCTGGTGTGGCTTCTTGCTTGACAGCAGCTTGTACAGCGTGCGTATCATGGAAGACGTCACTAGTTGTCCGAAACCCGTTGATGATTGGAATGGGATACGGCTGGACGGGATGCGTAGACATGAGCACAAAGCCCCAGCCTCGAAATCCACCCCCAGACAGGTACAGAGAAAGACCCTCTTCCGACTTGCATCGATCAAGCAGATGTTGAGGAATCCGAATATCCTCAACCGCTCCTTTCAAGTCGGCAATGACTTCGCTTTCAAAAGCCTTGAACCCTTTGCTTCCATGTGAACCAGCTTCCTCAAGCCTCTTCGTGAGCGCCGCAGCGCCATACGGTAGGCTTGCACTTCCCTTCTCACACATCTCAACCCGATCGTACTGCGTCGACGTAACAATCCAATTGATCTGCGTCGACCCACCCCCCAAATCCATCATGAGTCCCGTGACATTGTGATATGAACTCGCAACCCCAAACGCCCCAATCCGTCCCTCCATCTCCTTTGACAGAAGCTCCACCTCCCACCCCGTTGCCCTTTTGATCTCGTCGCGAAACTCTTCCGAATTAACCGCCTTCCTCGTAGCCTCCGTAGCCACAATCCGCACTTGCCTCTCTGGCACCCCAAAATCCTCGCACGTAGCCTTGAACCGCAGCAACGATTTGACTACCTGTCTGATCGTCGCCTGGGGTATCGGAACGGGCTTGCCGTCTTCAAACTGAGCATCGTACAGCGATATCGCCGCACGGTCCAGATACAGAGTCGGGAGTCCCCGTTGCGTCTCTGGCGTTAGATCCGTAATCGAGAAGCGGATCCCGTTACTCCCCATGTCCACCAGCCCATGCAAGTGCCGTGACTCGTCCATCGTAACCATAATAATTCTTCGATGGCGTCAAATCCCGCTTATGCGTAGTATGTATGTTGCAGAGCCAAGAATAGTTTTTTGTCTTACAAAGAAAAACCGGGCAACCAATAAGTCCAGTTTTTCCCAAATTGGAAAGTTTTTTTCCCAAGGCCCTTAAATGGCGTGATCAAAGCCCACGTTTGTGCGGTGATTTTTCTTCTCCCAACGCCGTTGCGTCGTTTTTGCGTCTTTTCGTCAATGGGTAGTTTCTCTTACCCCCAGGAAACTTCGCTTAGTGGTCCCCCCCCGTCCTCTGCAACTAAAAAGTTAATACGCAAGTTGAGTAACTGCGGGCCCGACCCCCCCTGGCTTTCTGCAACCCAGCGATAGTTGATTACGGCCGTGCTTTCCCCCTCACCCCAGGTTTTTTCGTTTCCAAGGAAACCTAGTTTCTATTACCCCCAGATTACTTGAGAAAATAATATCTTTGGGACTTTTTTTGCCGTGCGTCTTGTTCTCGTGATGCGTGAAAATTTGGAGACCGGGATGGGGTTGGAGTTGTGCGGAAGAGGCGGGGTGCAGTTGGAGTGGTGTGTGTGTGTGTGTGTGTGGCTCCGGAGTGACGTTTTTTTTGTTCGAGAGCGTTGTATCCAACTGAGTAATAATGAGGGGAGGGAAAACTTGGTATCGATATGGAGTGGGGCTGTGACTAATCACGTGCGGACCCACTTGAATGGTGTTTCGAGTTGGGATCGAAGATTCAACTAGATTATAGAGGAGGATTGAAGAGTTTTTTTCCTATAGAGAGGGGATGCCCCGGATTTTCGCTACTGTTGTAATGGTGACCCCATGGACAACGTGAAAATTTTGTCTCGATACTAGTAGATATACATGCATGTTGGTTTGAATGATAAATTGTTTTCCATGCCAGCCTTGTGTTGCAAATATCCTTACTGTACTTGGGTACATTTAGTTCTCGTCTATATAATACATATTCCCTTCATTTCGATTTCTTCTCAGCCGCATCGGGTGCTCGAGAAGGCCTCAACATGCGATAGCAATCCACCAGAAAGCCACGCTCAAAGAACAGCACATGCAACACATAAATCCCGCCTACCACTCCCATACTCACCAGCTCACCCAGCACCCCAAATCGTCCTAGAAAATATATACCAGGTTTCGTTCGCATCAAGGTTGGTACAATGGCCGCAGGAGCCGCAGCAGTAAGCGAAGGCAACGTCTCCAATATGCTAAATCCAGAACCATTTTGCGAAAAGAATCGTCCAATGAACCATGTATTCCAAACAATACGCAGAGCCATGTTGACCGTATTAGCCAGCACCACACCATTACCGCCCATTTCAAGCTGACCGATGAAGAACCATGCGCTCCCCGCGAAGAGGGCGAAAAAGATACCCATGGCAATTGATTGTGCGTACAACTCTTTGTTGGTAGCAACAGCGGCTACAAACGCTTCGGTTACTCCGTTGATGGCGAGAAAAGGTATGTAGTAGCAGTATGTCGAAAGGACCTTCGATGCAGACGTTGCGGACCATTTCTGACCCGCGACAATCGAAAGGAGTGTAGGAGCTAGTACCGGGCCTAGTGTGACTGCGAATAAAGATATGATGCCGTAGAGGTGGAGGATAGTACTAAGGACTCTGGAAGCCTGAGCCAGGTTCTGCTGTTGTTCGTTTGTTTCTTCAGGCTTCTTCTTTCCCCCGTCGGGTGCCGTTGATTTTATATTGGCACATAGCTTTGCAAACATGTTGCGACTGCTCTCTTCAATGGGTTGAAAGAGCATGCGTGCAATGAGACCTCCATAGTTTGATGCGAGTGCGTAGGCGCCTTGGTCTGCAAGCGATGCAAGAGTCGTGATCAAAAGAGAATCGCCTTGAGTAAGAACATATTTGAGCGCTGACTGAAGGCTAAGAGATGCAGTGAGTCGAAGTAGAGGAGTAGAGAAATAGGTCATCAAGACGGGATTCTCTTTAGTTGAAAGTATTCTCTCTGGGAAAAGCGAAAAGCCGTCCGTCTTCGCAACAGGCCATGTCTTGTACGAATATACAACGAGCAACGCCACCGCGTAAGCCAACTGCCCAACAGCAAACGGCAGAACCCCGATATCGAGACCAGCACGGTTAGCTAGGATAGCAGACCCGCAAGTTCCGATGCATCGCAACAGGGTAGCAGAACTCTCAGCCGACGCTCGGACTTTATAAAGAAGCTTCTGCTGGACTGCTGAAAACGCAGGCTCGCTAAGCAACTCGAGAAAGGTAGCCAAGCCATAGACAAACAGTGCTTCTGCAAAGAACGGCACATTGGGCGTCTCGGACCGGAACCACAGCAACGCAAGCACATACGCCAACGGCGTACCCAGGAACACGGCGAGATACGAGAGATTGACTACAGCCTGCGTGCCATGCGCCTGGCGCTGCAGTGCCACGCGTAAGCTTTCTCGCGCAAAATACAGCACCGATATGGAGAAGAGCTCGAGCTGGGCTGAAACGCCGAGCAGCTCCGGTGAGAGAAATCGCAGCAGAACCTGGTTGACAGCGAATGTAAGGGTGCGCGAGGCAACCTGCAGCAGGATGAGAAAAGTGGCTCCCTTCGCGGAAGCGGATAGAATTGAATTCGACATGCGGGGGTAAGGGGAGGGGGGGCCGGAGGGAAGGGAAAGGGCCAACGGAAAAGGAGAGACTGGAAGCCGTTTCCGACGAACAGACGAAAGAACTGCGATTGCTATAAATGATGCAAGATAAAGACCCTCAAGAGGAGCATCTTTGATTGGCCGTTGTGTGCTGATGCGGTGTAGTAGTTTGACAGCTGTGGTTGAGAAAGCTTCCGGGATATCGGCGCCCACAGAAAGCGGTTTAGCGTCCTTTTCCCTAACATACGCTCTCTTTTGGGCTACGTACAATGACAAGGTACCAGCTCAGCCCTGTGCGGCCGCCAGTTGTTCCAACTGGGTGCCACAAACGTACTGCCAATCTGACTCTTTTTTTAATGCGCGCACACACTTGTGCCAAAAATTATATATTATGATGAGATTTCTCTCCACACTACTTTCTTTCTGAAGCTTGCAAAAAGATGGTCGTGGTTGACCCCGGGCTATTCGTCAAGACGGAACGGTTGCTACTCCGCCCGTTGCGCATCGAAGATGCAGATGACGTATTGGAGATGCGCAGGCATCCGGAGGTCATGATGCATACATCTACTCTCCCGTCGGACAACATTGAAGCTACAAAGGCATGGATACAAGGTGTAAGAAGCATTTTCCTACCTCGAATAGTTTGTTGGGGACTGTTTGTAGGCTGACTAGTAGCTTCATAGTGCCACCAGGTTGAACACAATTGGAATTTCGCAGTCACCCTGTTGGAGCCTCACGATGGTCCACACGTCATTGGCCTCATTGGTGCTGTCCGCGCACCAGAAGTAGGATACATGTTCAATGCTTTGTACTGGGGGAAAGGGTACGCCACGGAAGCATTGCGTGCGTTCATGCCCTTGTTTTTCGAACACTATTCCGGCAATTGCATTGCAGATTACCGGGATGAAGATGCAAAGGCACCATCAAGTAACGGAAGTACACAAAACAGGAACGGCGCCAATGGCTGCACGAACAATGGGAAGCAGTTGGCACCAAGATACGAATACGCAGAAGCACACACGGACCCGGAGTTGGTCTCAAGTCAGAATGTATTGACAAAGGTCGGCTTTAAGCTACATGAGAGGAAGAAGAATGATTTCGAGAACCCGATTTTAGGGATGAGGGATACATTGGTCTACAGATGTTACAGGTCTTCTTGATAAGAGACGGCCTTTGCAATTGAGCTGTACAACAAGGCAAAGACTCTGCTGATTACAATGGCCCCGTGAACGTCAGGCGTTACCAACCTACCTTTGCAGAATAATGATCGAGTTCTTCTCTTATTTTACCCCGAGACGGCCTCCGAAATTCACATCCCGGCCTCGACGATTCGCTGACGCCTCTCGGCTTCTTTTGGTTCAATCTGTCACTACCGCCCAACTCTTCTATAGGAAATTGGGCCTCGATACTGTCGTTGATTGTAGAGTGTATGCCATGATTTCCAGTTGCAGCAATACCATGCTCCTCTTTCTCATCCGTCGTGCGTCTGCCAATATGAACATGCCCGAAGTAGTCACTCTGTGAAACAATCTGGCTTGACTGAGTAGGCTTCGCTGTCAAGAAAGCAGCAGGTGGGGATAGGAAAATAGTATCGATGTGTCGCCAACGCAGATTCTTCCATTGATTCTGCTGCTGACGTGCTGTATACGGCCCATCTGGAGTGTCGACAAAGTGATCATGAGCAACTATGAGGTCGCCGCGTTCGCAAGCATGTAAGGAGTCGGCTGTCGACGAGCCCTGAGACTGACTCCCATCTGTCGATTCTGAGATGCGCTGGATCTCGGGGATCTGGAGGCGATGGGTGAGAAGAGTGCCATCAGATGGATCAGAGCTACATCGCCTCGAGGTATAAGGGTTCTGAATGGACACATCTTCCTGTACCGCAACTGATGGCGCAGATTGTGTAGGACAAAGGTAAGTTATGAATGGCATACGCTGTATAGGTCGTGCATCAATGTTTTCAAGAGAGGGCGTTTGGTCATCATGTTGACGAGGCTTAAGCTCAGCCCACTATTGCTTTTGTCTCTTCCACCACGATGATATTCTGTCCAAGAACATGGTATTGTACTTGCGTCGATGGCTTCTGGGTACTACCTTTTGGCATATCAGTTGTGAGAAAAACCCTGGCTTGTGTCCCGCCGAAGATCTCGAGCTGGCCTTTGACAATTTGCGGTCTGGCCCTATGCGCATCGCTTCTGGGGGCGGTCCATCTGTCCAATCAGTTCCAGAGCGATCCAAAACATGCTGTTCCTGGTCGTTCTGTTGCCGGCGTCTACGACTGTCATGCTCCGCTATTTTGTCTTTCAGCGATAGTCCCATACTAAGACACGGGAAAGAACCTATTTCTGAAGATGGGCGAGTGTGGTGACCAAAAGCTGGAGAAAATAGAGATTTCGAATATGCACGCAGTGCTGTAGTAGGTTTCGTATCTTTGCATCGTTCCAGGAGAGGAACACAGCTTGCGATTGAGCCTGATGAAGATGTGTAGCAAGTTGCTAGTAGCTCTAAGGCGATCAAATGTAAAAGCGCCTCAAATGAAATGCGACCGCTACAGGGTGTAACTTGGAGAGTGGTACTTGTCTTGATATGTCTGGCCAACTGACGTGCACTGGGTATCTGACCAGGTCAGATAGACCAACTAGACACTTGGGCAATGTCGCTTACTACCAGACGCGGCTGCCGTAGCCCGGCCTTCCAAAACTCGTTGCATTCCTGAGACTCGAGCCAATCTGCCACCTCTTCTGAGACTGTTCTTTGAGTATCTTCGGATATGATACTGTCATCCTGTGCCTGGTGTACATCGTCCTCGATGCGTTCCAAGTACTCATTGCTTTCATCAGCTGTGCAATGCGAATAGCAGCCCTTCACTTTAGCTATGTCGAAAGCCCGAGCAACAGTGATTTCGACACTCAGTCTATCTACAGATCTCTGCATCAACAATACGTAGGGAAGGATTATAGGAGATAGATTAGGGGCGAATTTTGAATGAGATATTAGGGTAATAGAGGAGCGATCCAGTGTCTACAGCGCATTTTCGCAGAAACTGTTTGCTTATACATCCCAAATGTAGATGTCCAGGGTTGGACTTGCCAGGACAAAGACCCTGGCCTTCGGAAGCGGGAGGAAGCCGCAATACATCAAAGCCCCGCTGCGGTCTGCAAAAGGGCCTGTCCCCAATGATGTTGCCCTCCTGCGTCATCAAGTAACACGCGTTTTGCTGCTTTCAGACAAGCTGCAAAACTCAATCTCATCTACTTCGCTGCTCAGTGATTTCAGGAAAGCACCATTGACTGACTGTGGCAAATGTCCCCCTGTTCAGCAAGAATGCCGTATGTCGCACGATTCCCCAGGTTTGCTTGCTCTCATACGCCTCCCATAATTGTATCGCCGTTTTCTTGCGACGAGACTCCGGTCACAACATTTGCTTTCTCCGCAACTAGGCGGGATCCGTCGGATGTTTTGGAGATTGCCAATTGCGACTTCTCGCCTCTCTTCAACTTTGCCTCGTTTAGTCTTACGAGAAAGTTTGTCGACGTTGGCTTGGCCTCGCCACCGGATCGCTGTCCTTCGCTTTCACTGGAAGTCACAGCGGCCTGACTTGAACCATTACCCGCACCTTGCATAGATTCAGTCGGCTGTTGCGCATCATCAGCGTGGTTGACATCATCACGCGGCCGCAGTCGTCCAACTTTTGCAACCAATTTTGCAGACCCTAGAGATAGCAAGTCGACCGATGGCAAAGATCGTAATGGCTGGGTCGTGTCCGCATCCACGTCCGGTTTCACAAAGAACATGTCAGTTCCGATAGTTGAAGTCCAATGGCAACTCAACAACTGACCGTTATACATGACCAATGGATTCGGCGTATGCAACCCAATCACTTGCACTTCGCCCATGTTTGCCATTTCTTGCCTGGCGTTTGAACCGGCTGCGGTCTCGACCGGCTGACCTCGAGCTGCGTTCAGAGCGCGCAGTCGGCTTTTGAGCAAAGTTGGATGGCCCGGCCTACTTTGCGACACCATAGGAATTTGAGCCGCTGGAACATTGGAAAGATCCAGGGGAATATAAAAGTCTTCCGTTTCGGTCTCATCGTACTCGTACTCCCATTCGTCATCTTCGATGTTAGTCATGGTGCTGGGCGCTTTCAGAGGCTCAAGGTGATGGAAGATGCAGTGCAGTGGGGTCAGTTGAAAGGCATTGGAAGATGGTGATTTATAGCCGAAGTTTTCGAACCGATCTTTAGTACCAACTTTTGGCACAAATTTTTTTTGGGAATATAGATACCACCATCTCGTGTTCTCACATCACAAGTCCAAGCACGGCTGAAAAGTCGTACAACTCCGCTTGGTGTAGTTGGTTTATCACGTTCGACTGTAATTGCAATTGTAATCGAAAGGTCCCTAGTTCGATTCTGGGAGCGGAGACAACCATTCTTTTTTGCGTTCATGCCAGACTGAGCCTATATGTCTCAGCGCCATGCATGTCTTTTTTAGCATGGGTACAAAAAGCTGCGGGAGGGTGGGGAATGAGCCTAAAGTTGGGCGTGCATACAGCATGCATTGTACTAGGATAGATGGTCAACGACATGTCTTGCTCGATGAAGAGTAGATAGAGTAGGATTCTTTTGCATCTGCACGCGTCTCACGTCGCGACTGTATGCGGCACAGGACGGTACGGTTGTTCCGCAAGTGAGGCCACGTCTGACACGTTGATGCGCCGCCCGCAGGCATGCTGGCTATACAGAGACACACAACAGACTACTGTGTACACAAGCTGCACACATGGCTTATCTATCGATAACGTGTTGTATCGATAGGCCGTGCCTGGATGCCAGGCATGCCAGGTTCATGGCATGGAGAGCCGCTTGCTTACCGAGGCTCCCGTGCCCGCATCGTCCCCAGCTAGCGCTGACGACGTACGCCCAGCCGGCAACCATCCAGAACGTATCAACCACCACTGCGCGCCACTCTGCACAAAACATCTACTGCATACGTTCCTGCTTGATGTGTATTGATCGCATTCTTTTACCAACCATTGTGCATCTCCCCAACGTGACTCTAGCGCCAATCGGCTGCCTGCGCTTATCTACTCTCCATCAGTGAGTCTGCTCCCGCCCCAGTCCGGCCATACAACACCATTTCGGGTCATCATTACCTTCCGCCTTGTCCGTTCCCCGCCGGATTTCGAGCGTGCCATTAGCTCAAATCCAGCACGGGTGGGCCTTCTGGCAGTCACAGCGTCGCTCGTTATTGCGGCAGTTCCCTGCGTTGCCCAGCGCGAGGCTGATCCACTGCTGCTCATGGCAATCATACCTGTCAGCTGCAGCTTCTTTGTCAGCATACCGGCAGTGCCGGCTTCAGATATTCCGTGTGGGCTTGTTCTGTGGCGTCTTGATTCGGAGCTTGTGGATATATGCTAACTAGTTAGTGCCACTCGTTCCGTACTTGCATCATGGTGGAGTGCAGATTCCACTACAAGCAGCCCTGCCTTCGTTGCTTCCTACGCCTAAGGCTGATATATCCGAGTACCCTCCGGTAGCAACCTACTCCTCCGATACTTCGATCCAGAAGCCAGATGCTACGCAAGACGCCCATGACGAAGCACTCATTCCTACCATCGATATCCCTATAACACATCCTTTGCGACAAGACTTGTCTGAGCAGGCTCACACATCTGGCGCTGGCGTTGAGAGCTCGTTGAGCGAGAAGGAGGCAGAAATGAAGGGCAGGAAACCTGTTGCCGTCGCTGGGGGCGCATTGTTCGGATTATTCACGTTTTCGCACTTTTACCAGGATTTCCTGTTCGACAAGTTGACATCTGGGGATGAGCGCGCAGATGAAACCGAATGGGTTGCATCGTCAAAATCTTGGCTAGATCGCAAAGCGTGCAGTTGGTTTGGGATATGTGGCCTGGCGCATCTGAACCAAGCACACTGGACCACGGCAGCATCCGACACACAAGGCCAGACGGTTACTATAGAGAAGTCGGACAAGACCGACCTGAACGACTTTTGGAAAGATGCACGGGACATTCCCGCAGACTACAAGCCAGATCCCGAGCTCGAAATCCCACAATACGTCATAGACCATGCGCCTCTGATACACCTGTTCTCGGGAGAAGAATACTGGCCAGGAGATATGGCTGATCATTTGGTGCATACGACGCCTCATCTGAACTACACGCCAATCCAAGCCCAAAGCGATCACCCAACCATCAGCAATCTTGGGCAACTTAACAAGTGGGGGAGATTTGTGTACCTGCAGAGCGACGACAACGTAGAGGATCACCCGGCGTGGCTGGGTGCAGATTACAATATTCCCAATGTACCAGGAAACGGAGACAATGATGGCGATGACCCGAAGCATGACGGCGGAGCCAAAGGGCATCTTACAGAAGACAGAGAAAGCGAGAAGTCGCCTTGGTGGCACGTCGGCAAGGGTGATACCAAAGGGCGAGGTGGCATTCGACCTGACCCATCAGCTCCTGGAGGGCCCATTCCCACAAGCACACCCGAGGGCGACGAACTTATCGACGACGCCGATGATGACGACAGGTACTGGCGACCAGAACTGCGTCGTGTGTGCCGTAAGTACAAGGGCAAGAGGGTCGTTGGCGGGCGTAGCGATGCACCTGTGCCATTGGTTGTGGTAGACAAGGGCGACGGAGTTGTCGACGCATTTTGGTTCTTCTTCTACAGCTACAATCTCGGCAATGCAGTCTTCAATGTGCGTTTCGGTAACCATGTGGGTGACTGGGAGCACACAGTGGTCCGGTTCCACCACGGCGAACCAAAGGCAGTGTTCTTTAGTGAACACAGTTTTGGTGAAGCGTACGCTTGGGACGCTGTAGAGAAGAGTGGAAAGAGGGTAAGTTGATTCAAGGTACAATATAATGGCTGAAACTGACACATTTAGCCTATTGGCTTTTCTGCCACGGGAACCCACGCCATGTATGCGACCGAGGGCACTCATCCATATGTTCTGCCCGGTGGCATTTTGCACGACGTTACCGATCGCGGCCCTCTCTGGGACCCTGTGCTCAACATGTACTCGTACAAGTACAACTATCGAACGGACCGACTTGTCTCATCTAACCTCAACCCCGTCGCGCCGACATCGTGGTTCTACTTTGCTGGCCACTGGGGCGACAAATTTTACCCACTTAGCGACCCCCGACAATACCGCTTTTTGGGCCAATATCATTACGTCAACGGGCCGCTGGGGCCTCGTTTCAAGAACCTCGGACGGCAAGAGATTTGTCAGGGCAATGGCGAGTGCATTCTCAAGAGGCGTGCTGGAGAGAGGTCGCATATTGTCAAGTCGTGGGCCGACCTTGGCGAGGGCGAGGAGATGAGCGAAGAAGACGCTAAACGCGTTTTTGGAGCAGAGTATGATTCTGCGTCTTGAAGACTGAAGCCATGACGACCGGAATGATTGATTAGGGTGAGTATTGTTTACACTCATTGTATAGCTGCAAGGCGTTCTGTTGCACCTGTACTACTATACCACGTTGGCGTTGTTTTGAGATACCTACATACGTAGCCCCCGTACGCGCAGATGAATCTTTTTCTTGTTCTAATATTAAAGTTGCCCTTTGTTGGAGTGGGCATATCATGGCCAAGACTTGAAGCGCAGTGTTCGCCTCTGAGTGAGTCAGGGGAAATGTTTCCAGAAAAAAAAATGAGGTTCGTTACGAGGGTATGTCATACTACATTCACTGGTGTTGCCAAGTAGAGAAAGTTTAGCGGGCGAAAGTGGCCGAGACAGGTGTCATAGTTAGTGCGGAAAAGGCTCGGGATATCTGACGTCGACGCCGGTGTCTTCGTAGGTATATCGGGAATCAACAGATTGCCTAGTCAGCTCAGCCCCATGGCCCCCCATGGCTCAAACAGGGCGATTTGCTGTAGGGATAGCCATTGGGTGGTAGCCAGGAGGAGTCTGAGGGGCGTTGAGGGCGAGCTGGGGGCACATTTGCAGCTTGCACGAGGACGCGTGGGCATGGGCGATTGCGTGACGTCTTTTAGCCCTCTTCATGACCCAAGGCCTGGCGCCCGACAACGCCCATTGAGTCGGGAGCAGACGGGGCTGGCCCTTCTTCGGACAGGTGAATGCAGCGCAGAGCAAAAGAGCATGCCGCAAGTGAGTAATCGTTGGCTCATCTCGTCATCAGTCGAACAATTTGGCCGCCGTCAGACATGGGTGGTGGGACCCCTAAAGTAGGTGCATGTCGTCGTTATCTTATCAGCGCTGCCGCCCTACGCCTTCCCCGACTGCATACCACATACATACATGCACTTGAACCAACACCGCCCAAGCACGCCGGCCTGCATCCCGTCAGCTTCAGCTCCGCTCGTGCCATCGCCACGTCTCCTTTTCTTCTGCCTCTGAGTTTTGTTTCTGGGTCACAGGATCCCCGCCCGCTTTCCGAGAATTGCGCCAGATCATCCACCGCTTACGCCTGCAGTAAACAACCTGTTTGGCACTAGCGCCGCCATAGCGCCATCTGTACATCATACACCTGCGCCTTCCCCTCGCTCCGCTAACGCAGCTGAAGCTCGCAAGGGGGGCATGCGACCAGCACGTCGATAACACAAAGAACCTGCTGTCCGGGCGACGTGCTCATTCCACTCCGCCGTCCCCTCGAGTCACAGCAAAACACATCACCAAACGGATCATCGCTCCCGCCATCTAGTCGACGTCCACGTGCCTGGGTACCTGAGGCCGTGACTCCCTCGTCGCCACTACCAACAAACTTGGACACCAAACTAGGCCTACCGCACTATGGCCTTCTTACAGCAGCATAGGCCACAGAGCGGCCACCAGACTTCCTACCATGGCCCAGAACGCGTCGACGAAGCCACACCCGCCTTGCCCCAGGTCAAGACGTCTCTCGAGCAATCAGAGGAGTGGGTTCTCTTCTCTCCCCCCGCCCCCTCGACCACCGCCCGCACACACACCACCTCGACTGAGCGAACACCGCGCACAGCTGGCCTGTCGCGCTTCAGTGAGTTTGGCTCGCTCGAAACAGTTGCTCGCTCGAATCAGGACGATGATGTCGGCACATCCTTTGGCACAGAGGAGGAACTTGATAGTCTCGATGATGGCCTGCATGCTTTCCACGAACCATCTGAATACGGTGCCCCGGTGAGCAGACTGCAGGAAAGTGGAGATACCGTGCTCCCAACCCACGATGGGCTGGGCGAATTCAAACCAGACTCGACTATGCAAGAACACATGTGGCACTTTGAGCGCTCGCGGAGGCGACTAGTCAGACGGCGCTCGAGTGTCCAGCGACATTTGACCATACTTGACGATACCGACGAAATGACCACAGAACAAGAGAAGCGGCAGCGTATTGAGAGGTGGCGGTTGGAGCAAAGCAAAGCCTTGTTGGAGGAAGTCGAGAGGGAAACAAGGCGAAGACGGCGAATGAGCATGGTTAGTACTACACGGAGTCGGCGGGAGAGTACCAATGCACCCCAACAACCATCGAGTGCAGTTCCACAACAGGCCCCGTCTGTCTCTGATGCACAGAGCGACTCATCTGAAGAAAGTCCTGAGAGCCTCACATTCTGGCAACGGATAACACGACGGGTAATTCGAGATCTCATTGGTCTTGACGACAACACACTCTCAGTCATATTCGGAGAGACAATATCAGATGAATCACCAACACCCACCCCTGGCACACCTACTGAATTCTCCACGGACAAGGCCCTAGAGGATGCAGGAATCGATGCCTCGCGGTTTTCAGATGATGTCTGGCAGACGAAGCTACTCGAGAGGGTAGCCGTGGAGCTGGGAACCTTGGTCAACCAACTTTCTGAGCATCCTGGAGCCTTCTCTACATATCAACAAACACAATCAATACCAGACTATGCAGGTCTTACACCGGTAAGATCTAATACGACCCTCGCATCCGACACAACATCCTCACGACCAGCAAGTTCTCAGCCGACCACATTACCTGCATCAGCCCAGTTCGCTCCTACTTTCCCAGCTCAAGCATCCCATACCTATAGCGAAGCTTCGTTGTGGGGAATTGAAGAAGAACCCAACGACGCCGACTTGTTAGATTCATCTGTTGCAACCCCCATCCCCACGCCCGATATTGCCGAAGAACTTGCCCGCGAGCGCGAGTATTGGGAACGCGACATTGACGTGACAATGATCTTCAACTTTCTGATCAAACGCTTTTCTTCCCGGCGGTCGAGTATTTCGCTTCCTCCGCCGTCTGCCCGCACAGCTAGTGCCTCACGTTCGGCAGGGGCAGAAGACGACAACATGAGCTCAGCGCGCCGAGCAGCAATCATCCGCCAGCACCACCCTTTGGTAGATAGGACGACGACCGATGCTAGACTCCCGACGTCGTCCGCTGCTCAAACCAAAAGGGAGTCATCGTCGAGACGGTACTCGACCTACTACTCGCCGCCATCAGTCCCAGCTGGACTGAGGGAAAAGGCAAAGTTGAGGAGTAGCAGTAGCTGCGCTAGCCAGAGCACCAAGAAGAGCAAACGGAGCGGGAACTCGGCAAGAAACTACTGGGATTTAGGTGGCAGTGTAGGCAGTGGCAGTGTATTTGCTGGTGAAGTGTAAGCTCATGACGGATTGCATGCATATAATGAAACTCAATAGAAGAAATAGAATTCCAGAGAAGAGTGAGGATTGAAGTAAGGGTGGTCTTTTTTTTATACATCTACGGCTCATAACGTTATTCGCATCGATTCCACTCTGGGAGGGGAGGGAGGAAGCAACCATGTATGTACATATGTATGACAATTCTTGGACTCTTATTGTCCATTCCATAGCATAAAAAAATTAAACAGCAATTAGGGTTTCGGCTACGTTTTTTTCTCTTCCATTCCCTTGTAATCATCCCTAAGAATAAAAAAACCTCTCTATTATGGCTGTAATTTTTTGCCCGAATCCTACCATCGTCTTACCGGTCTTTTAGGCCCTCCTCCTCCTCCTCCCCGAATACTCACCGAACCACCCAACTACGCTTACCCTACTTACTTTTCCATCCAAATCTCCTAACCGTCAGACCAACCACTCACTCACTCACTCACTCACCTCCCCTCCCCTCCCCTTCCCCCTCCATTTACTGTAATCTTCCTCTCTTCCCATCTTTCCCTTTTCTCCGCCCATCTTTCGGTCCTACCTCCTCCTCCCAATCTCCTCCCCTACCAAAAAGAAAAAGAGAAAGTAAAAAAAAAAAAAAGAGCCCGAACCCCCCCCGGAGTTCGGAGTAGCCACGAGGGTGTACCACGTATGACAAAAGTTTTAAACTTTCTTTCTTTCTTTCTTTCTTTCTTTCTTTCTTTCTTTCTTTCTTTCTTAGCGGGGTTTAGTAGTAATAGTAGCGGTAGTAGTATGTAACTACTACGGATATAACAGTCAAGTCAAGATAGTTAAAACAAATAGATAAAATATGCAGGGTCGGTCCCTACTGTTATTTACTTTTTTTTAGCCCGGTCCGCTGCAGCCGCGGTTACCCTCCCCCCCGTCGTTGTCGTGGTCGCGCTATAACTCAAACTCCATTTTTCGGGAGGGACGACAGGTTGTGTGACGGGGGCACGTGGGGCCGAATGCGGTCTTGCGGGTGTCACATGGACTCTCGGAGTAGGTGTTTATTTGATTGTTTGTTGGTTACTGTGTTTCTTTCTGTCCCTTTGAAACTTTACTCCTTAGGTTATAAAGTGGATATCATAACGTGTCCTGGACTTGGAGAACAATATATAGTCCGGGCGGCGTATTTGATAACACATACCCGTGTCTGCTATCCGAATCCGTCCTTGTCGAACGCAAGTACATGCAAACTAGGGTTAGATGATAACGCTTCGTCGTTACATGTGCATCACATTTATTGGGGAACTGGCATGATGTTTGTATGTGGCTTGGCAAAGTGCCCGACTCGTCTGCGGCTGAGGTATCACCCCAGAGCAGACGTTCGGGCTGGTATTTGATTTCTCCTAATCTAGTAGTCCTTGGACTTTCCTCCGCATGCGGCGTACCGCAAGAAAAGGCCAACGTGCGCGTTGATAACGCACTGGTGCCCCTAAATGTTGAAGCTTTTGTATCTAACAGCCTGCCCTAGGCTGTCTCTATATGAAAAGGAAACGTGCATCTAACTTTTTGGAAAGAACTAACGGGCTGGTATCATGGGTGAAAAAATTTGCCCTGGACGCCGTGAAACACTTGTTGAAAAGGCTCTACCCGCCTCCCAAAGATATGCAAATCTTTCTCATGTGATGTCGTCGTCGTCATCATAAATCTTAAGTCTTTGCAGGATGAAGTTGATTCAATCCCACTCTATGCGTCGAGCATTACGAAATTAAAACTTGAGCTCCTTGGGCTTCTCCCAAGTAAAGCTCTGGTTGGTGAAGTGACCGTTCTTAGCGGTCTGGAAGTAGATGGGGTCAATGAGGTTCAACTCCTTGACAATGACACCGGGGCGGAGGTCGAAGTTCTTGTGGATAATCTCCACAAGCTCATCCGAGGACTTATCCGAGGTGCCGTAGGTTTCAACGAACAGGGAAAGAGGCTCGGAGACACCGATAGCGTATGACAGCTGGACGAGCGCACGGCGGGCCAGCTTGGCATTGACAAGCGACTTGGCGATCCAGCGCGCAAGGTAGGCAGCAGAGCGGTCGACCTTGGAGTAGTCCTTTCCGGAGAAAGCACCACCACCGTGGGCTCCCCAGCCACCGTAGGTGTCGACAATGATCTTACGGCCGGTAAGACCGGCATCACCCTGAGGACCACCAATGATGAAGAGACCAGAGGGTTGGATCTACGATAGGTTAGCACAGGTATACATGAAGGCAGGCTGAGAGAGAACGTACGTGGTAGACGGTCTTGTCATCAAGCATGTTGGCGGGGATGACCTTCTTGATGATCTTCTCCTTGATCTCCTCACGGAGCTTCTCGGTGGTGATGTCCTCGCTGTGCTGGGCAGAGACGACAACAGTGTCGACACGGAGAGGGATGACGGCACCGCCATCGTGAGCGTATTCAATGGTGACCTGGGTCTTGGTGTCGGGTCGGAGCCATGGCAGGGAACCGTCCTTGCGGGCGGAAGTCATGGCAGCATTGAGCTTGTGGGAGAGGAGGACGGTCAGAGGAAGGAGCTCGGGGGTCTCGTCGGTGGCATAGCCGAACATGATACCCTGGTCACCGGCACCGAGCTTCTCAAGAGCCTCCTCGTAGTGGAGACCCTGAGCAATGTCGGGTGACTGCTGCTCGATGGCAACGAGGACGTTGCAGGTCTTGTAGTCGAAGCCCTTCTCCGAAGAGTCGTAGCCAATGTCCTTGATGGCATTGCGGATAATCTTCTGGTAGTCGAGGTGTGCCTTGGTGGTGATTTCACCGAAGACCATGATCATACCGGTCTTGGCGGCGGTCTCGCAGGCGACCTTGGAGAGAGGGTCCTCCTTGAGGCAGGCATCGAGGATGGCGTCGGAGACTTGATCGCTGTAGTTGGTGTCAGCGGTGGTCGGAGTATAGTTTTAGGCTTTCATGTGCCGCAAATACGCCGACCGACCGAATCGGTCGGAGTTTGAAAAACAAAAAGACACATAGACGTACCAGATCTTGTCGGGGTGGCCCTCACCGACGGACTCGGAGGTGAAGAGGAAGGTGTTACCCTGGAGGAAAATGTTAGGGTCATGGCGGGGTGCTTCGGGGACTTTTCTGTCGAGGGTACCTTTGCGGAGCCGTTGGGGACAGTCATTGTGGTGGATGTGGAGAGGTGGGGGGAGAAAGAGGGAGAACTAGTGTAGGACTTGCGACCGCGTGTAAATTGACGGAAGAAGAAGAGAGGAAGGTGGGTGAGTGAAGGAGAAGAGAAGGAGGGGGGAGTCGAGGGGCTGGAGTGGATTTAAGCAGCAGCAGAATGGGCCCGCCGACTGTTGCCAAATTGCCGAAAAAAACGTGCAGGGCCATGTTAAAGCGCGCAGGCCAACAAGGCCGAACTGCGACTGCCGCACTAACACTAAGGCCAGCATTAGCATTAGGTTAGAAGCACGCCATTGTCCCCCTCGCCTTCCTTCAGACAACCACTGCCGCCCTAGCCACGCCCGCCCAATCACATAAACTCCACACTCCGCCCCCACCGCCCCCGCGGCAGAAAAGTATCCCGCCTCGACGTTTCCACCAGCCGCATGACGCGCGTTACCATCAACCCATCCCGACTGCGACAATGAGCAAGTATGGTACCCTGGTTATGGTAACCGCTCCCCTTCCCCACGACCTGACCGCCCATTCGGGGACACTGACCGCTCTCAGGGCCCGGCCGGCGCGGGCAAGTCAACCTTCTGCACCGCTCTGATTCAGCACCTCCAAAACACCAAGCGGCCGTGCTTCTACGTCAACCTCGACCCGGCCGCCGAGGAGTTTGCCTTTGAGCCCGACCTCGACATCAAGGACCTCATCAGCCTCGAGGATGTCATGGACGAAATGAGCCTCGGCCCCAATGGCGGCCTCATCTACTGCTTCGAGTTCCTCATGGAAAACCTCGACTGGCTCACCGATCCCCTCGAGGAAGTCACAGACGACTACCTCATCGTCTTCGACATGCCCGGTCAGATCGAACTCTACACGCACGTTCCTATCCTGCCGGGTCTGGTCAAGCATCTCATGTCGGGCTCCCTCAACATGCGCATGTGTGCTACCTACCTCCTCGAAGCCACCTTCGTCGTCGACCGTCCCAAGTTCTTCTCTGGCACCCTCTCCGCCATGAGCGCCATGATGATGCTCGAAATGCCCCATATCAATATACTGAGTAAGATGGATCTGGTCAAGGGCCAGGTGGCTAAGCGCGACTTGAAGCGCTTCGTCGATGTAGATGCAGATTTGATCGACGACGACCCCGCGCGCAAGAAGACGTCGCCCGAGGAAGAGAGTAAATACAGAGATCCGGCGTCGACGGAGAGCCTGATGAGCGGCTCGTCGTTTCACAGGCTCAACAAGGCGGTTGCGGAGCTCATTGACGGCTTCAGCATGGTTTCCTTCCTCAAACTCGACGTGCAGGACGAGGACAGCCTGGCTGCAGTGTTGAGCTACATTGATGATGCTATACAATTCCACGAGTCGCAGGAACCAAAAGAGCCGAGGGATGTGGAACCTGAGGCAGACATGTAGTCTCGGTCTGCGGATAGACACATATTTTGCATTGGCGGCGTTTTACGGGGTTAGGGAAAAAAAATCTCTTAGTGGGCATTAGAGGGGTGGCCCATATGTTCAAATACTTGGGGAGGACTGACAATGCCGTTTATGAGAATAAGACTTACGATACCCAATATATATCCATGTACAGAAGTAGATGGGTTCCGTTATGAGAGTTGCACTTTTAGTCTCTGGTCTGTGATGCGCAGATAATCAGAGAAGTCAACAACAACAACAGCCAGTTGGTTCTAAGATGAAGAAAAAAACAGATATTGATACAACAGTCATGGACATTAACTACGTTTTCTTCTTTTCGTACACATACTTCCACTCGCTCAGTAATGCCAACAAGAACCCAAAAACCAAAAACCAGCAAGGGAACAAAAAAAAGAAGAGAAATACAGCAATGCTTCGCTCCCACAACACCTCCA